CACAGCTCCTGTGGCCCCAAGTGATAGGGTACAGTCCTCATGCCAGGAGCCGTACTTCCTTGAGCTGATCCCTAGACCTTGGTCGTGGTGCTTGGAAAACTCTTTCTTATCAGCATTTTTGCTCATCTTAATCCTAATATTCCTTTATTCTTCCTGTCCCTCTTTTTTGGAAAATCCTTTCCAATTATTTTGCTTTGTTTTCTTTCTTTGTCCTTCATGCTGCTGAGCTGATTTTTCCCTCCTTTTACGAAATTCTATGCTCTTTCCTGAGGTGGTTGTGGAGCTCTTCTATGTCCGAACTTAATTCACTTTCCAGCTATTTTTAAAATAGAGTTTTTGTTCACTATAACACTTTCGTTTTTTACTGTTTTGAGACAGGGCTTCACTCGGTAGTGTAGGCTGGAGTGTAGTGGCACAAACACAGCTCACTGCAACAACGAACTCTTGGGCTCAAGTGATCCTTTTACCTTAGCCATCTGAGTAGCTGGGGTCACAGGCATGCACAACCACACCTAACTAATTTATTATTATTTGTAGAGATGGGGTCTTTCTATGTTGTTCAGGCTGGTCACAGACTCCTGGGTTTAAGTGATCCTCCCACCTTGCCCCCTGTAGTTCTGAGATTACAGGTGTAAGCCAGAGTGACTGGCCTATGATACCACTTTTTAACACAAACAGTTAGAAAAATGCTATATAAAAAACCTCCTTTCTTTTTTTTTTGTGATGGAGTTTTACCCTTGTTGCCCAGGTTAGAGTACAATGGTGCGATCGTGGCTCCCTGAAACCTCTGCCTCCTAGGTTCAGGTGATTCTTCTGCCTCAGCCTCTCAAGTAGTTCGAATTACAGGCACCTGCCACTACACCTGGCTAATTTTTTGTATTTTTAGTAGAGATGGGATTTCACCATGTTGGCCAGGCTGATCTCCAACTCCTGACCTCAGGTCATCCATCCATCTTGGCCTCCCAAAGTGCTGGGATTACAGGTGTGAGCCACTGCACCCAGCCAAAAGTTCTCCCTTTTATAAATACCTATTCTGTGCCTCTCTGTGTCGAGCCATCTATAAGCCCATGGATTAAAGATATGAAGACCTTCTCTGCTCCATGGAAGCTCATGGTCCAGTCAGATGGGAGCCGCACAAGCTGATGAAGTGAAAAGAGTGATGTCTGATAGCAGGGACCACTCTGGAATAAGGAAACATAAGAAAAGCCTTGGAAGACAAATTGGAATTCACTGGAACATTAGGCCCCTCCTGTTTGCTTACAGGAATCTTCATCCAGATAATTCTTTTAAAGGCAATAGCTCTATAACAAATTATTTACCAAATTACATTCCTAGAAGCAGAAGTTTGATTAAGTACATGCCAAAATAGTACCATATACTATACCCAGCTTAGTGTATTGGACTGTCTTAAAAGTGGCATAGCTTTAAAAAATATAAACAAGCTTCCAAAAGTGTTGAATTTGCTCAAAGATGAGAGTTTTATATCTGATTACTGAAATACACCAAGGTTGTTTAGGGCCATAACTTTTATAGTTCTCCATGTTCTCATTCTCACAGATGTTCCATGTTTCTTCTTCAGAATAAAATACTCAGCTGGATACATTAGAACATACTCTGCCACCTTAGGGCACAGCAAGAAAACAAGGAATTGCAACTTATATTTTATTTTTGGTTTATTTTTGTTTACATCCTATTTTATGTTTTGTAGTATATCTTAAATGTTAAAAATTAAATGTATGTATGAATACATACATGAACTTTAATCAGATATGCAAATGTAGGTGTATATCACCCAAAATTATTAGTATCTCTTTATTAGGCTTTGTTTGATTGTAAGTAATAGAAAACCTGAGTAAGAGTGACTTAGACACAGTATGCTTATTATTTATTCAACAAAAATCTAGGTAGGTGGTCTTAGAGTTAGCATAGCGACCTAGTGATTTTATTAAGGGTCCAGAATTTTTCTATATTTCCATACACATATTTTGCCTGATGACTTTCAAGACTAAAATTTCACTTCATGATGAATTACACTTACCTTAGCCAATGCCTCTGTGATTTCCAATGAGTAATACTATATAGATAATATATAGTAAAATCCATAGGTAAAATTCTAAGGTTTCAAATGTGTTGACAATTTCAGTAATTTCCTTAAAGAATTATATCTAATATTTTATTATTATGTATTACATTGTTATTAAAAAGTTATACTAATAATGTTTTTTTTTTAATTCAGTAAAGCCATTGTGAATCAATTTGGGCATTCTTTAAGCTATGAAAACGGAAAACCTCAGTGTATGATAAGCCTGATATCTGAGCTGTCCCACCCCAGACTTTTGCAGAGCCATTTACTAGGGTCTCTGATCCTCTGTAATGTGTTGATAGATGATGATGTGCTGGAGAAATCGGTTGGTAGAATGAGGCGGTAACCACTAGAGACAGCAGTTGTCAGATGGAAATTAATTGATTGTAATTGCTTTGCCATTGTGTTGCACTTGAAGTCTGTAGCTTGTTAAAACCACTGATTATAAAATAAGGATCTCACTTTTTATGCTGTAGATTACGTTAATGAAAAACTGTTCTTAGGAGCATGATCAGTGAATATCAATAAATGGATAATAGAAATTAAAGGAAAAGTTAACTAACTGATCTTGAGTTAATATACTTCAGCAGCCAGAGTAGCAGTCAACTGTGCACCGTTTCATATTGAATTTTTTGCTCAGAGCTCTTGAATTTTAAATATTTCCCATAGAGAGATTGATTCTGTATGACTGTTTGTCACATACTGTCTTGAATAACAGATCTTTACTATAGAGAATCTCCTGCAAGATGGAAAATATGTCTGTTTTGCAGAGGCTTCATTTTGTGCCAAAGTATTAACAAGCAGATATTTTGAAATGGAAAACATAAGTTTTGATTGCAACACCAAGAAAAAGGACACCAATAGTGGTTTATTTCAATGCCCATGGAATATGAGTAACATATGTGTGAGGGTCTGTGTGAATCTGAAGGCCTTGTTTTTGCAATCTTTATCAATACTATAAAAAGTATACTAAAATGATAACATAAATGTTAAATTATATTTCACTTTTTGCTGTGCAAAATGCAGTAACTTTTGTAAAATTATAAGGAGATTTTTAATTATATCTTTCATTTATAGCATTTAATTGTTGATGTTAGAGAGATCAGATATTTTGAAGATATTTTTATGAGCACCAATTCTCATTAAGCCTCCTTGTTTGCTCTCAAGGACCTTACAGAAAAAAGGAACAGATAAAACAAAGAAAGGATTACTTGCAGGGTTGAATGCAGTGATGAAAGTGGTAAGAGGCACTGGGAGGCACAAAATGAGATCATCTAAGTTCTTAGGATTTCTGGTGTCTTTAACAAAGAATGAAGGTCTGGGAAGAAGGGGCAATGTGACAGTTCTTGGCATTTTGGGGAAATAGAATGATAGTTGAAAATTAAGTTGCATAAAGTTTTAGAGTATAAGAAGAGACCAGACAGATAAACATATAGATGGTTCATGCCCTGGTTTGCTCTACTATGGATTTTGAAGTTGTTGCCCCAGGAGAGCCCCAGGAGGATTTTTATATGTGGGAGAGACAGGGTGAGTTTCCTTTTAAAATGTTCACTTTCTATCAGTTGCGACGATAAGCAGAGAAGAAGCACATTGTGACCTTAATTTACTGTCTTAGTCCATTTTCTATTGCTTTAACTGAATACCTGAAACTGGATGATTTATAAAGAAAATACATTTATTTCTTGCAGTTTCAGAGGCTGGGAAGTCCAAGGTCAAGGGGCTGCATCTGCTAAGGGCATTCTTGCTGGTCAGGGCTCTCTGCTAGCCCTTAGGCAGTGCAGGTCATCACATGGATAGGGGCCAAGAGCATGTCAACTCAATCCTTTTGCAAACAGCCAACCGTTCTGTCATGGGGGCCTCACCCTGATGACCTTATCTAATCCTAATTACCTCCCAAAGGCCCCACATTTAAACATATGAATTTGAGGATTAAATTTCCAACACATGGAATGGAATTTGGGAGACACATTCAAACAATAGCAGTTAATAAGCTGGTATAATGTGCCATGCTGTTGAACATCTAAATCTATGTAAAGGAAATTAAAAGCTTGAGCACTGAATAATTTATTCTTCTTTGATTTTTGAAGTATATTTTTTCTTGAATGTTGTGGTAGAATTGGTGCTAATAGTTTAGTTGCTTAAAACTGTAACTCAAATAATGTCTACATGTGGTAATAGAGTCTGTATCTTGTAGATAGCATGTATTTATGGTTAGTCTTGTATTTGGGATGCAGATACTGATATATAACTTAATTTGAGAATGTAAGTAATTATGATTTTAAAAATGCATGTTTAAGATAATGCTAAAAAATGGCAATAATTGGTCCTGTTAAATATTTACTGGAAACATTCTTCATATTTGAGAATCTGTTTCAGAATTTAGAACATTTGCATTTTAATTATATAATAAAAGGAGAAAGTGAAAGAATAATTGGCTTAGCTATTAGCCAATTATAGCTGTAACTAAAAAAATATCCCCAAAACTGACATTGGATTCCGCAGAACAGTTACAATATACATTGATCAGATGTTTAATTATATTTGGCAGCAATAAAGGGAAGGGAATGTTGTTTCAATCCTTCATACAACATGTTTGTTAAAACTGAAATTAATGGAAATGGATATGGGATGTTTAACTCAGGCTCATTCAGCTTTTAGTGTTTACGTGTCCTCAGATTGGGCTTCTCCAGAGTGACTTCAAGAGTTAAAATGTAGTGGAAAAATAAGACAATTGAATACAGTGGTTACAGCCAGCTGCATTTGGTCAGTACCATGGAGGTTTGGGGCTGTCTGTCTAGATTCCCAGAGGTCAGACCCCATGAGAAGGCCTACATACAGAGATCCAGGGCCAGTGACAGTAGTTGGTGGTGTCAGAATGTCCTGCTGACAACATTTCCCTCTGTGCTTTCCCTGACAGATACGACGACATATTCCACAGAGCGATCTGAGCACTTCAAACCCTGCCGAGACAAGGACCTTGCATACTGTCTTAATGATGGCGAGTGCTTTGTGATCGAAACCCTGACTGGATCGCATAAACACTGTCGGTAAGCCACTGCGGCCCCTGGTGGAAAGGACAGGCCCTCTGCAAGGCCTGGGGGTGGAGGGTGTTAGCAGCATCTGGAATGTAGTGTCTTGGATACACACAGTCCCATCATTTGAATATCGGAGTTGAGAGCCTTAATATGGAAAGGGCAAGGCTGCTGTGTCTTTAGCATTTGAATAAGACAAAACGGAAGCAAAGTAGTTGTGGTTTAAGTTTTACCTGACCAAGCAAAGAAAGATTTACTTTTAGATCTGCCAAGTTAATGGAAATGATTATTTACACACTTTAGAAGCATATATTTATGACATGGAACATAGGCATATATCCTAGTACTCAGAAGTAATGTATGCCTGAGAAACTACAGACTATAGCAGGAGAAGCGAACTGCTCATCTAAGATCTGGAATCTCAGTGTTTATTGTGAACTAACCCCAGAGACTTTGTGTCCAGAGAAAACTGCATTTTATTTTGTTTCTGCCCTCCTTTATTAATTTTGGTACTTTTTCTTAACACCTCTGATGAAACACTCTCTAGCAAGATGTTGTAAATGAAATCATAGTCCTGTTATAGTCTAGGTAGAGAACTACTTGGGGAAAACTCCCAGTAGAGATCAGGAAGGTGTTTAATTGGTTTTCAGAGACATAAGATTATATAACGGCTACAAATAAAAGCAAGGGGGGATAAAGAGTGCACTTGTAGGCACCGTAGCTTTAAGGCTCAGTAGAAGAGTCAAATTAACATCTGAAAAATATTTCTTACCAAGCTTTCATTTCCAGCAGTACCCTGGTAATTTGTTTTTGCCATTGTATATGCATCAGTGATCATATATCCACACCCCTTTTCTTCTCTTTATTTACTCTTCTCATATGACACAGTTATTAAATTAATTATCCTGAATCGTGAAGCATGGAAAATTATGACTTTTTCTTATTACTATTATAAAACTCTATTCTCATGTTGTTTCACTAAGATAATGTAGAGAAGGATATCATATAGTTACGAAGTTAGAACATGCCATGCCAGCAGCAGCTGCCTGGTTCCAAGAGCCAGCTTTAGTCCACAGGGAAGATATATTGCCACACTGCTCAGTGGCACAGGTTTGGAAGAACAGATACATGGGGGGCTCTGTAGAAGTTACCATATGTCCTGTGCCAGGACAAATAGAACTGTGACCTTTCCTCACCCCAACATGTGGTGTTCATATGATTTTGGCAGTGCCATTGCATTTGCCCTTGTTGCAAAATGTACAACCTGTTCCTATGCTCTGCAAACCTAGGTTGAGAAAGAAGGGGAGTAGGAATTATTTCTCTCCACACTCCTCTCTCGTATTTATTGTGACTGGGCACATATGTATAGGAAGCACACAAGTGACATTAAGATGTCAAGGGGAAATCCAAGAATGAGCTACCATACCTTCAAAGCATGATGTGCATGCAAGCTGTTTTAGATCCTCAACCATGTTGCAGTTACCTTGGCTAATCTAATGGGATTATCATGCGGAAGTGAGTGATGCAATCAATTATGTTTGAATTCCTAATCAATTGAAGAAGGGGTGTATCGGAAGCATTAGCTAAAGCAGTGGCTTTCTTTGATGGTGTTTTACCTGGAGGAGGGATCGGATCAGGTCCCACCACAGTGTGCAGGCTGAGATGATTCATCTTTTCCAAAACTGTGACTATCAAGAGAACAAAGTAATTGTTCTTTTTCGGCATATGGCCATGCTGTATTCTTCATTACTTCATGAGCGTATTAATTTGCTAAGACTGCTGTGCTACGGACTGCGTGGCTTCACTATGGAAATTTTTTTTCTCACAGTCCTGAAGGTCAGAAGTTCAAGATCAAGGTGTCAGCAGAGTTCATTCCTTTTGAGGCCTGTCTCCTTGTCTTGTAGACGGTCAAGGAAATGTATGTTCTCATCATGTTTCCTCTGTAGGTGTGTGTCTCCTAAATTTCCTCTAAGGACATCAGCCATATTAGATTAGAGCATAGCCTAATGACCTTATTTTAACTTCCTTACTTCTGTAAAGACCTTTCTCCAAATATGGTCACATTCTGAGGAACTATTTCATGTAGGAATTTTATCTTTTGTAGATAAATTCATTCTATAACAATGAGTCTCATGTCCATAAAAGAAAAATGATCTGCTTTTGTGCATAAGCATGTACATGTCTAATTTTTGTAACACCCATAAGCAGATATTTGTCTACAGTTCAACTGCAATGATGTATTTATATAATAATTTTGGCCTTTATATTTCTTGTGTATTTCAGTACAGACAACCTGTTGTTTAACACAGATGTACTACATAGCTAATCATGACAAAAGACTAGCCTAAGACAAAATTGGAACTCGAGTAGGTTAATAGAAGCCTATAAATCTCCTACTAGTGTGTATGAATAAATCACACATCACATGTGCCTGCTATCATCTCTCAAGCTTTGCTGTGAATAAAAAGGCTTATGTTCCTGCATCAGCCACTTCTAAAAATTCCAATGTAGTTATTAATAATGTGCCATTTTGTACAGCACTCTATTTAAGTAGTATGTTTCAGTCATTCTTCTCCTATTCAACAGATGTTTACTGAGCACCTCCTATCACTGAGATACTGTTGAATAAATACATACAGAAATGAATTTAAAAATTAAATGGCACAGCGCTTTGAAATGTGTTTGGAGTAGGTAAAATAATTAGTCATTAGGAAATTTAAAAAAGCAAAATACTTCAGAGTGACTGACATGCTACCAGGGGTATCTTTATGACACTGTAGTTACTGGAGTTTGTTTCAAGTTAAATAAGATGCCATTTAATAGATCTGAGCAGCAATATAAAGCCTTGTGCATGACGCTAGCTTATTCAATAGTTTATATGTCTCAAAAGATTAGACATCCAAAGCTGAAAGAAATTAAAATAATATTTCCTAGATTTTTTGAAAAAGCATTGCAATCCTATAATGGACTGCATGAAATATTTTTTCTATGTTGTGAAAATAGACCATGCTCTGAGACGTTTCTTTTTTCTTCTCAAGTAAGAATAGGAACAAAACAACCAAACTATTTGTGATAGAAATCCTGAAAGTACATGCTAAAAAAGAAGACAATAGTAATCTCAGAAAAGGGAGTAGTTGGGATGGGAAGACTCATTTGTTTACTTGTACTTTTCTTATTCCAGTTCTTAAAGAAACATTTGTGGTATCAATACTTAGAAATTATAAAACAATTTAATAAAAAATATTGCAGGAATACCAAAGTCTGAAAAATAACTTGACAGAAGGATTTTTAAAGAACAAGACATAAATAGAGAAAATTGATTTTCCTAAATTCAAAATATTATTTATGTGTGTGTGTGTGTATTTTTAAAAAACTTTTCTGAGAGGAAGCCTTGCTCTGTCACTCAGGTTGGAGTACAGTGGTGTCATCTTGGCTCACTGTGGCCTCAGTCTCCTGGGCTCAGGCCATCCTCTCTACCCAGCCTCCTGAGTAGTTGAGACTACAGGCGCTCACCACCATGCCCAGATAATTTCTATATTTTTATGTGTAGAGACAGTGTCTCACTAAGTTGCCCAGGTTGATCTCCAACTCCTGGCCTCAAGCAATCCTCCTGCTTCCTAAAATATTGGGATTATCATGCCCAGCCTCAAAATATAAAGCCACAGACCATCCACAGGCTAATTAGTGAAAACAGATTCTGATATATTATGGGACTTAGTATAGGACAAGGATTGATTCATAAACCAGAGGAAAATGAGGGACTGATTGTTCAATAAATGATTGACTATCAGGTAAATAGAATCAGAAGTGTATGTTGACCCCTCTTTCTACACCAAAAGTGTACTAATGATTTTAGAAGTTAATGTGATAAACAAATAAAGCAAAAAAAAAAAATGAATAAAATTACATATTTATTTATGTCAGCAATTGTAAGGACCTTGTGAGCAAATAAAAGCATTGGAAGGCAAAAATTAACAACTTTAACACAGCATTACTTTTTATCTGAATATGATAAATCAGAAACAAAATTAAAAGACAATATGAGGAAACAGAATCACAAATACGAAAAAGAATTAAAATCCTGAAGAAGTCTTTAGATCAAAGGGTAACATTAAAATAAAATCTCAATATGGAAATGAACAAACGGGTTTAACATAATCTTCCTAAAGAGAAATACAGATAACCAATAAACAAATATTAGCCTCACAAATAAATGCAAATTAGGCATTTTTTTTTATCCCATCCTTCATTTAAAGATTTTAAAAAGTGAATACTGTACCCCGTTTGGTGAGGGAGCTGTGAAAACACGTGTCCTCAAATACTACTTGAGGGAGTGTACTTTGTTAAAGATTTTTTTGTAGGTAATATTTTAGTATGTTTTAAAAGCCTTATGGTGTTTCTAAGAATCCAGCTTATAGACATGTTTGTGAAGATTTATCTGTAGGGATGCTCACCAAAGTTTTATCTGTAATAGCAAAAATTTTTAACAAGTCTGAAATTATGAATTTAAATGTCTATATAAATTAGATTATATTTGTACATTAGATGAATTTTCAGTATTTTGAGAATATTAAATGGTCATTATGTCATGTTATGTATAAAATTTAATATGAAATGGCAAACTTGAATATACAGTAGAATCCTAATTTTGAAAAAAAGAACAAAACTAAAATCGCTGAGTTTACAACTAGTTTCTTCTTTCAAATTAGCAAATTTTCTAAGGTCTCTATATTACACATATATTTCATTTGTGTAATACCTGCATAAGACACTTGACTCTTGCCTGTCATCTTTCCATTAAGAAATATAGATAGTGACCCTGTCTCTGTGAAATCAAGGTCATTATAATTCACTATTAAGCTGCTAAGAGAACTTTCAATTAAGTGCTTACAGATTACACACTATTAGGTCTATTTGAATGTGTCTGCTCCTTCTCTTATTAATAATTCAGTGTTACTTTTTATAGTAATTCTTTTTCATGTTGAAGTCATGTTTTGAAAACATTAAAAACACTG